GGGCCACAGCGGTGAGGGGCGAGGGGTAAACCACTACGCCACCCATGCCACTAATACCATATCTGTCAAGGTACCACCAGAGAAAGCCGGGCAAACRAACCAATAACAACTTTTAGGTATCGTTGAATATTTTCTTACTCAAAAAATAAAAACCAAAACTACCTTCCTAAAGGCTCGTCTTGATTGATGAACACAGCSTTGAAAACATCTCTTTGGGCGCCTTCCTTTCCTTTATCAAGTTGCAAGCGATCATCAATGTATACCATTGTTGGCTGGCCTCTCCACTGGCTGCTTGGATAGTCATATTTCCATAAAATGGCATCTGATAATTAATTTTTAAAAATAGTTTTACASTGCAAAGCCCATAAGTATAAACTACTATGGTATGGATTAATTATGCATTAAAACCATGAAAAAAATCAAAGTTGATATTGACAAATAATAGCTATTTAGTGACTAATAGTCACTATCACTCAACCAGAACATTCATTACACAAAGAATAAASTGATCATCGCAAATGGTCTCTTGTGTATTTGTCTCTCTGTAATGAATRTTCTGGTTGATCACACTAAATAGCGACTATTTTTCAATATCCCTTTGCAAAAATCAACTTGTAAATTTCAATAGTGGTTTTGCACCATCACGTGACGGCAGCCAAGATAGATGGCAGGAACAATACAATTGTTTTACATGAGAAAGAACTCAATTCCCAAGAGTAGTAAAGGGATTTTTTTGTCCTGCCATCTACCGACAGGCAGCCCACGCGGTATTATGGCCGCCGGCACGTGATGGTGCATAACCTCTATTCCATCATGGAATCAAGCCATCAGTTTGTTAGCCAATGCCTATTAAAAAGTGCTACCCACGTGARGATAAAGAGGATCTTTTAAGTACCAACCTTGATTTTATCTTATGTTTTTTAATCTTTTATGCAAAAAAACTCTTAACTGCATGTGAACCAAAGCTTTGCGCCTTATTTGATGAAGTTGAAAACATGTGTATGTTCAACAGACAAATGCCTGTGCGTGAAATAAATGCCATATATTATATGTGGCCATGATAATGATGACGATGGATTTAGTTAGGCCCCGTCCACACGTATCCGGAAACTTTTGTATCCGCAAACGGGTTGCGTCCACACGTGTACGTAAATTTTTGTATCCGTATCCGGAAATTTTACGAAAACGGATACGTGTGGACGGTGAAAACGATTCGAATACGCTGCGTGTGGACGCAAACATTTTCGTATCCGCAAAAAATAGTTTGCGGATACAAAAATTTTCGGGTACGTGTGGACGGGGTCTTAAATAGGCCGTTTGCATGATGGCGTCATTTTACTAGCATTACCAAAATGCTTCGTGAATTTTCTTTCTTATTAAAATTTATATTCCTTCATGAGAATATAAGACGATTGGTGCTAGTGAAGTGAACRAAAGAAAGTCTGCAAGGGATTCTGGTAGTAGATGACGCAGTAATGCAAATGGCTTCTCGTGTTATGGGACTGCTTGGGTGGCTACAAGACAAATGTAATATCCCGAGATTGCATGACATGAARTAAATAAAAACAATACTTTTGAGTCTCCAAAGAATGGAACTTTTCTAGGGTTCCTAGGAGAGAGGGTGGGGGGAAGAGAAAACTATGAAGGCGCTCCTCTCGTCTCATTCTTCCCTCTTCCATACCCCCAGGCCAGGCTATACCACAGAGGGGTTGGGGGGGGGGGGGGGGGGGGGGGGGGGGGTTGAATCCCGATAAGAGTAGCAGACAGAGGAGGATAACGCTTCGTGTTTTATAGCTCTAGTGAAATATTTCCATCTATTGCATTACCTCGAGGTGTTTTTAACACTTCTTCATCCCTTTTGGTACCGTGGTAATGAGTACTACTATGTACGGTTCTTGGTAATTCAAAAGTCTGTGATGGTAAAGACACTGCTTCTTCTATCAAGCTTTGAACGATTACAGCTGAATCGCCCTCCACAGTACGACTTATAAGAAATGCGTACTCGTCRACTGTGTTGGCTCTATCTGAAATGGCTTCCACCTCATCTCCATCTATTGTAGCTGAACGTTGGTCCGTAGTCTCGCAACCGCTTGGCCTGCCTCTTTCTGAATGCACTTCCTCTACATAGTCCTCTACTGTAGCTGAATATTGGTCAACAGTCCTAGCATCGCTTGGTTTGCCCTTGTCTTTTCCCCCTTCCTTTGCATGGTCCTCTACTGTAGCTGCATTTCGTTCAACAGTCTTGCATTCTACTAATCTTGCTTTGTCTGGATGCGTTTTTTCTTCGTCGTCCTCTACTGTAGCTGAATATCGGTCAACAGTCTTGCCATCGCATTGCTTGTCCCTGTCTTGTTGCTCTGCCCCTACATCGTCCTCTACCTTAGCTGCATGTCGATCAACAGTTTTGCCATCGCCTGATCTTGCCTTGTCTGGATGCGTTTCTTCTTCGTCGTCTTCTACTGTAGCTGAATATCGGTCAACAGTCCTGCCATCGCATTGCTTGTCCCTGTCTTGATGCTCTGCCCCTACATCGTCCTCTACCTTAGCTGCATGTCGGTCAACAGTTTTGCTATCGCCTGGTCTTGCTTTGTCTAGATGCGTTTCTTCTTCTTCGTCCTCTACTGTAGCTGAATATCGGTCAACAGTCATGCCATCGCATTGCTTGTCCTTGTCTTGATGCTCTGCCCCTACATCGTCCTCTACCTTAGCTGCACGTCGATCAACAGTTTTGCTAACGCCTGATCTTGCTTTGTCTGGATGCGTTTCTTCGTCGTCCCCTTCTGTAGCTGAATATCGGTCAACAGTCTTACCATCGCATGGCTTGTCCTTGTCTTGATGCTCTGCCCCTACATCGTCCTCTACCTTAGCTGCATGTCGATCAACAGTTTTGCCATCGCCTGATCTTGCCTTATCCGGATGCGTTTCTTCTTCGTCGTCCTCTACTGTAGCTGAATATCGGTCGACAGTCTTACCATAGCTTGATTTGTCCTGCTTAACCCCTGAAATGGCTTCCTCTACATCTCCTTCTAATGTTGCAGCATAACGATCCACTGTCTTGTCTGTTCTGTGTTGTGYGGTGTCGTCAACATTCGTACCTAGTAAACGATGTCGAATTTCTACACTACTTTCTGGATAATCATAAATCGTCGGTGATGCTGGCGAAAGAGGAACGTGTCCCTTTGTAAATAATCCCATAACGGTGAGGCGCGTGTTTTCTTTCAGACGTTCAGCTGAACGCCTGGTATAGTACTTTAGAAGCATTTCGCCTGCATTGGGAAGATTTTCTTTATGAAATTTCTCTAAACCAAGCAAAGTCAGGCACTTGTCTATTAATCCAATAACATGGTCATTAATGATCACATGACCACTAGAGGAACAGTAATGCTCAAACAGCTCCACGGAGATGGCATTCAGTCTATGGCCTGTTTCTTGTTCAGCTGTTGTCTGTAAATCTAGCAAGGCCAAACTTAGTTTGTATGATGCTAAAACAAAAATGTAGAACTGTTCCCTGCTTGTGAGTGCCTCGTAGGTTTGATGGGATTGGATACTGTCTCTTATATCTTCAGTGGCAACTTTCAACAGCTGCYGTCTTTCGTCCTCCAGGGTTGAAAGTTTGATGAACTGCATCATTACTTCCCCCGCATGACACTGAATAAAAACGATATAGTATTGTCTTTAACGTTAACTAGCTGTCAACTGTGTCGCGCCTGGTCCTAAGATGCGCGCGCATTCTTACAGCTAAAGCTATACTTAGAGAGCTTTACTATAAGTGTACAAAAGTGTACAAAAAGGTTTACGAAATATTAATTATACATTTACTCTTGGAGTAAACTTAAAGAATTTATATGTTTAAAGAAAATTWAAAAAAGTGTACAAATTATAAATATGATATGATAGGATGGGATGCGGTGCGCCGTGGCGTGGGGTGGCGTGGCGTGATAGTCGAGTCTAGTCTAGTCTAGTTTAGTGCAGTGTATTTATAATAAAAATAAGAATAATAAATACTGAAGATAATTACAATATGCCTGACAAAGAACATCGGGGTGTATGTAGACGACCTGGCAGCTTCTTGGGCACTGATGTACGCAGCAAGTAAGGGATGGCATTTGACAAGACCAAAGGAATTCGCCAAGGAAGAATAATCTTGCACAGTCATGTTACGCAGGCATGGACATAACAATCCATACCCAAGGGAGAGTCCCTGCATAACAAAAGCTCTGGTCAGTCAGAATGAGTTGTTCTTGTTGCACATACAGTCAGTCTTAAAGAAACGTCCAATGAACTACTTTATAAATATGCAAAGCTTTTTTTTACAGTATTGGCGTCGATTGACATTTAATTCGCAACAAGAAAAGTTGTTTTAGCACCTAAAAAGAGATGAATTAACAAGATGGACGTGAAAGGAATACCAAAACTATATATTGACCGACATTTTTTTGTGAAACGGCAGGCCGTCTTGAACCACAAGACATTATGGGGCGTCCAGGGGGAAAAGCAAGACAAAAATGTCGGATAAAAAAAGAGTTTCCTGTAATGAACTCTTTCGCATCTAATTTATTACTTCGTCTCTTAAGAAATTGTCTCATGGTGAATTGAATGCTAATGGACACCATGCATTGCCGTAAAATAATCTTTCGCATCCAATTTATTACTTCGTCTCTTAAGAAATTGTCTCACGGTGAATTGAATGCTAATAATTGACACCATGCATTGCTGTAAAAAAAAGCAATCTTTCGCATACAATTTTTCGCATACGYCTCTTAAGAAATTGGGCGGGGGGGAGGGAGGCGAAGAAATTCTACTGGAAAAAAGAGGGAAATTCCAGGATCCAATTACATGGCGACAAAATGTGTCGCTTCACCTTTTTATCTGGCCTTGAAAGAGTTGCAAATAATTCAATGGATTGAAGAAGAAGCTCTGCAGACTTGAGCCAGTTTCCAAGGCTATACTGTATTTCTCCCTTCAACTGAATACACGCGGCTTTGGTTAGTTGGAATTGATCTCGCGTTTTGTACCTCCATCGACCAACCCCATGACTTTCTCTGGTTACTTCGTCGAGTATTTCGTCGAGTATTTCTTCTGCAACTAAAATCAAAATTCAAAACTTTCACGACAGTTGCGCAATAACAGAAGTCTAGTAGTTTATAAAGGATTGGAATTCCCGTAAGGACAACAACAACAATTTAGTATTTTTACATTAAATAAAGATAATTTACAATAATAATAGAAGAAAATAGACCTAAAAATAAAGTGCAGGCTACTTAGATATCAGTGGCGGATCCAGGATTTTTCAAAGAGGGGTTCCGTTTCTTAAACTGTGTATAATTCTCTTTTGTTTAGTCGATGTTTGACAAAAAAATTGGCTCTAATCACCTAATTTACTATCTAGTA